TTAGAACATCAAACAGACTAAGGGATGTTGAGAAAACAGAACGTTACACCTCCACTGATTTCTTTCATGTAGCCCAGCATGATTTTACCCTTTAATTTTCTTCAGCAGTAGGGCGATAGATTTATCCAAAAGATATACTGAAGTTAACAGTATCAATGATTCCCATTTAATAAGGGAACACAGTCCAGCCAGCCAGCACCTGGTCTAGTACCACACTACTATCAAGGGCAAGATTTTCTACACAAATTTTAAATTGAAAGGTTTATAATTACTAAAATACAATTCTCAGCAAGTCAGATCTCAGAAATGTTTTATCGCTTTTGACCACACGTTTCCCAGCTTTTATTCTTTTCAATTTAACTTCCCAAAGAGGGCAAAGTGAGGTCTCTTTACATAGCAACTATAGTCATTTTTCAATCTCACAATATACAAATCCATGTACTGACTGGTAGATATTATTAAGCAGTCAGAGCATATGGACTTTTGTACTCACTCAAGTGACCCCTCCACTTTATCCCATCATTCCAGACAAAGAAATGAATGTTTAATAGGGAGGGAAGCCTTCCTCAAAAGGCAAAGAGAAGCAGGTATGTATATGCAGTGACAGGGTTCATACTAAGATTAGGGTTAAATAGAAGGACAGGATCCAAAGCTGAGGTAGGAAGCAGGGATGTCTATAAAGGGGAATTAGTGCATGGCAAGCTGGGGTATAAATCTACAGCGCTCTAGTATATCATGCACTACATGTGTGGCCCATGCTGGTGCTCACTAAAAATTACCTAGTGTGCTTTGACCTACTACTGTTCACAGAGCACTAGGGAAATTTTAGTGCACAGTAGGAGGTGCATGCAGTTACTGGGAAGTACGCTACAGAATGTAGATTTACACCCCACTTGCCATGCACTAACTCTCCATAGAATCTCTTAGATAAGGCATATAAAAAGAGTGCCAAGGGCTGTACGCAATCAGAGCAGATACTGTAATAACAAAGTACAATTCAGATCATCCTCATTGTGAGAACACCTACTGTTAACTGAACAATTAGTGTAATTAGCCCAGGATCTACTAATGACTTTGGAAAGGAAGCTACAGAAAGTTGCTGAAATAATTGTTTTGAAAGTAAATTTAATATTTTTATTTCATTCCATCCCAGCCACAGGATTTCAAAAAACAACCAGACATTTGAGTTCATTAAGTAAGCATATTTCCACTGTCCAAACTTAGAAGACCAATTTCCTGGGTTCAGAAAAACTTTTGAAAACACCAGCAGTTTTTAAAAAGGCTGTAAGTCCCAATCCTGGAGCAGCAAGGCCTCCTTTGTACAGTTTGATGTATCCATCTTATCCTTGCCTTATTTAGAAAAAACCCAGACGAAAGATTGTCCTTCCTTAAGATGCTGCAGCAGCATGAGAGCTCAGCTCTCCTGTAGCATTCCTCTTTGGACACTGCAGAGACCATATGGTTAGTGGGGTTTGGCTCTCCATAACCCCCATTAGTAGACTTTTTGGATGCTTGAGGATTTGATGGCTAGCTGCCTGTAGCTGCCCTTATTAGGCATTCCTACTCAGATGCTGAGGCTGCTACTGGGGGTGGAGTGATGTGTGTGAACACCCACAACTCCTGTTAGCAGATATCGTGGACCACCGCAGCTGGTTCCCCATACCCACTCTGGCTGGATACTCTTGCTCTGATGATGGCTAATGCAGGGCCCTCCTCCTGTCTATCAGCACAAATTCCTGGTCCAGGCACTGGAGAACAATGACTAGGGAGAGCCAAGTTCCCATTGGCATAGACTCTTATACTGGGGTGTGTGGAGGCTCCCAGCGACTGGACCCCATTAGCCAGCCCTCCTGTTCAGACGCTGGACTGGGGAGACTACAGGGGTCACTGGATGCTGCGGCTCAGGTACTGCAGGAACATGTTGGCCAGCTGGGGCAGGTTCTCCTCACTGGGGTGCATTTTGGTGTAGCTGATGAACTGTCTGCGGAGCCGACTCAGCTCAGCCATGCCCAGGGGTCGGTTCAGCACCAGCCCCTCGCTGGCCCCAGCCACCTGGATCAGCTCCCCAGGCTGGGCCCCGCTCCTCTGGGCAGCCAGCACGGCAGCCAGCACTTCCTGGGTGACCCGGTCCAGCTGGTGGAGGAAGCCGGCGGACTGCAGGGGCTGCGAGCGGGTGGACTGGTTGGGCGGGGGCGGCCTGCTCTCGAAGAGGGCGGCGCGGATCTCGGCCAGCGGCAGCGGCTCCTGCCCGTGCACGGTGAAGAGGGGCCGGTCCCAGCGGTTGCGCGAGTCCGGGGTCTCGAAGGGGCCCGCGGACGGGTGCGGGGCGCCGCCCGCGCAGTGCAGCAGGCAATGCGGCGTGCCCGCATGCTTGGTCACGCAGTAGAGCTCGTAGCGGAAGCTCTTCAGCTCGTTCCCCGCGTCGACGATCACCACGTCCCGCCGGCTCAGCCGCCGCTCCACCTCGGCCCGCAGCGCCGCGCGGCCCCCCACCGCCTCCGCCACCACGTGCACCGGCCGCTCCTCCCCGCTCAGCGCCCCCC